GGGGTAAGTAGATGATCAAGCCAAACTTTAGTTTTTTCATTTTGCATTTCTTGGATTTCTTTTGAGGAATGTCATTTTGTGTTCTTGAACTTTCAAATTGCAAGATGCATGGATCTTGTATTTCTTCTTTGCACTTCTATTCACATGGCTCAATCCCATATCACCATAGAATTTTAAGGTTGAAAAATTCTTGGAATGAGATAATAACCTCCCAACTTGCAACTTTTTCCGGATTTTAACATCCTTTTTTTTCCCCAGACTAGAGTAAATTTCAAGCATCTTTTCAATTACGCCATTTGACTCTAATTCCAATTTTTTTCGACATTACCAACAAGCATGAAGTCCGTTGGCTGATTTTCAATTATTGATTCTTCAAAATAAAGCTCACTTTCTACCTCGAAGTTGGACTTTTCTTGACCTCTTTCCACACTCTCAAGTAGGTGAGCATTTTGAGCCTCAACCAATAATTTCATTTGATCTTTCAATGTGCGGATATTCTTATCATTTTGAGTTAGTATTTATTTCAAGTCCTCGAGTGCCAAGGTTTGCTTCTCCTCATTTTTAAGAATGGCCTCCAACACTAGCATTAACCTCTCATTATGAGCATTTGAGAGTTCTTCTTTATTTTGATCAAGTGCCAAAGAAGGATTTCCGGCTTCAACCTCTAAGGGAGGTTCTTGGCTATCATCTACTTCCGAGGATTTTTGGACCTCTTAAGCTTCAAGCATTTCTGCCATTTGTGAGTTCAACCTTTCAAGCGCCAAGTCATTTTGGAGACTAGTTTCCAAAAGCCCCTCTAAGGCGTTTTGCTCTTTGTTTCCTCTTTCAAGTAGGCATCCCATCATGAGCTTGAGCTCTCTATTTTAACTATGCTCACTTTTTTCAACTTACATATCCCTATAATTATCATCACAAAAAGTAGAATCTTCATAGTGGGGGTTCGGGGAAGGGAAGGACAAATAAAAACAATTAGCCTATTTGCCATTTTGACCACCACACCTGTAACGATCTGACTGACCATTTTGTGTATTTGAGCCCCGTTTCCCCTTTTGATATTTCACACACGTGTATTTATGATTTTATGACTTGCGGAGTTGATTAGTTTTATTTTGGGAAGGCTTTGATTTGATTTGGACTCTTTGGTTCTCAGCTTAGAAACCTAAGTTGATTATGTTGACCAAAGTTTGAATTTTTTGTAAACGGTCCCAGAATGGTGTTTTAATGGCTCTGATAGGTTCGTATAATGATTTTGGACTTGGACGTATGCCCGGAAATGAATTCGGAGGTCACTAGGCTGATTTGACTTGTTTTGCCGAAGGTTGTCAATTTGAGGTCTAGAAGATTTTTCAAGTTTGACCGTGACTTGACATTTGGCTGTCAGGATTGGAATTTAGTTTTAGGACTCAAAATAGGTCCGTTATGATATTTAGAACTATTATGCAAAATTTTGTATCATTTGGAGTTGATTTGATTGGATTCAGATGGTTGGTTGCAATTCTAGAGGTTCTTGAACTTTGTTTTTGAAATTCATGTGTTTTGATGTTCGATTCATAGTTCTGGATGTTATTTTTGTGTTTTGATCACACGAACAATTTCATATAATGTTTTTAGATTTTTGTGGATGTTCGGTTTGGAGCCTCGAGGGCTCGGGTGAGTTTCAGAAAGGTTTGGACTGCAAACAGGTTGTTGGTGTGCTGTAGTTGTTGCAATTGCGAGCACAAGCATCACAATTGCGAATATGAAAGGGATGGTTCTCAATTTCAAAGTCTAGGCTTGGGTAGGTGAGTTCTTTTTTGCTATAATTTTCTTGCATTTGCGAGGAGGACATACTTCGCATTTCCGAAGTCTATGTCGCAATTGCGACATCTCCTGGGTTTGTCAATAGACGCAATTGCAAACCCAGTGTCACAATTGCGACATCTGCAACTAAAAAAAAGGTTGAAAAGTCTGTATTCCATCTCATTTTCTCTTATTTTAGAACTCTAGTCTCGGTAGGAGACGATTTAGAGAGGAGATGTTCGTCAACAAACATTAGGTAAGTGATTATAATCAATTTCCAACTATATTTCATAATTATATACTAGATTTAACATCAAATTTATGAGAATAAAAGATTAAATTTGGGGTTTTTTGTCAAAGTATTAAAAAAATGAAGATTTGGATTTTGAGACTCGATTTTGACTCGGATTTGAAAATAAAATACATATATAGACTCGTAGGATTATGGACGGGCCTGTGGTTGTATTTTGTTGACCTTTTAGGAAATGTGTATAGATCATAGCTTTATCTATTGTAATTGATTTCTCTTGCATTGTTTGATGTTATTAAGTCATTTTTGGTTAGATTTGAGCCACGTGGAGGCGAATTTTAGGGAAAAAACTATGTTCGAGGGTTGATTTGGCCTAGTTGAGGTAAGTATCTTACATAACTTTGTGTGGGGGAAATACTCCTTAGTATTTGGGTTGTTTGCATTAATTGTACTATATGGAAGACATGTACACAAGGTGACAAGTGTGTACACGGGCTATATGTGATATTTTGACCTGTTTAGACTTTTAGACTCTTTCCATGCATTTAATTGAATTTGTTATAACATGTTACATCTTCATTGTTAAAGTTTCTCTCACATGCTGTAGTTGACGTTGTAAGCATTTGTTATATCTTTTGTTTTTGTAATTGCTCTTATATGCTTTAGTTAAAGTTGCTACCTCTCTTATTGTCTTGTTACCCCTTTATTGTTGGATTACTCTTACTTGAAGTTGTTATTTCGTGAAATATCTTCTTATTGTGTTATTGATGTTGAAGTTGTGACAACTATTATCATATTGCGTTTGAAGTTGTTAATTATTGAGATATCTTTCCTTGTTGAGTATTCCTCATTCATTTTGTTGTTATTGAGATTCTTGTACACATTGTGATTGAGCCATGGGCTATATGTTGTGGTGACATTGGTATTGTTGATTTTAGCAAGTGTTTTGGCATATGGGCACATGTGGTGTGAGTTGATTAATGTGTTGGGATATTAATATGCATGCAGTGGTATAAGGATAGGGGTTGATACGCATGCGGTGAGATAAGGTGGGATTTATATGCGTGTTGTTAGTAAAGGAATTACTTGAAGCCACGCGATGAGATAAGGGGGGATAAAATGCATGTATCTATTTCGGGAAAATATTTTTAAAAAATAAATGCAAGGCTCACACGGTGATATAAGAAAATATTGTGATTTTGATTGTGAAATGAAGTTATGAGGTGTGGTACCCCAGTTGTGATTCTTGTTGTACATCCTGTTTAAAAAATACTTGTTGGTAGAGCCGTTTTTGTTGTTTACTCCATTGTTTTACTTGTAATTGTCCGTATTTAACTACTTGTTGTTTCATCATGTGTTTACTACTTGTTGTCTTTATCGCTTAAATTACATTGTTAGCTTACACTATTGAACTGTTTATCTGTCATTTACTTCCTAACTTTCCATTATTAGACTATGCTATAGTACTCTGTTCAATTTTCTTATCCTAGTAGGTGTCTTGACCTATCCTCATCACTAGTCTATAGGTTAGGCTTGATACTTACTGGGTACCGTTGTGATGTACTAATACTACACTTCTGCATATTTGTGTGAAGATCAAGGTACATTTGCTCCTGCCGGATGCTAGTGGTCATTCAGCTATTTCTGGAGACTTCAAGGTATACATGCCCGACGCTCGTAGGCCTTGGAGTCACCTTCTTCCATTCTCTTATTAATGTTTATCCTCTATTCAGATAGTGTTATATTAGATAATTTTAGTACATTTATGTATAGCTTATGACTCAGTCTCATCGGGTTTTGGGAATATCGTACTGCGGTTCAATATCGAAGTTATTATGATATTTATCATCTTTATTTCATGTTTTAGTCGTTGCTTCTTTCATATCCTCGTGTATGTTAGGCTTACCTAGTCTTAGAAACTAGGTTCCATCATGACATCCTATGGTGAGAATTTGGGGTCGTGACAATACCTATCACATATACTCCATTCATGGGTTTGAGATTGAGCACACAATCCGCTCCCGAGAGAATTTAAATAATTTTGCCATGAGTGTGGTTCTCCACAATAAGGACAAGGGTCATCAAAGTATGAACAATTACCATCCGACCAATTTTTGTTATATGATGCCATTTTCAAAAACTAAGAAAATAACCAAGATAAGAAAATAACTACACAAATATTCACAAATTTAGACCAAAGCACGTACTCTTACTTCTCAAACAACCTAAATGCATCAAATTGTTCCCCGACAACGATGCCAATTTTGATGACGTCCAAGTCTACTACTAAAATAGTAAGCGGTCGCGGTCACATGCAATATAATATACCCAATTATGAGTCAGGGTCAAATCCCATAGAGAACAATATATAGGCAATTAGGCAATATAAGAGAATTATCGCTTATTATGCTAAGCCAAACACTTCAAAAGGGTTTTGAGAAAATATTTATGTCTAAATGAAAAAATATAAACTAACATATAAAGCAAATAAAATGATCAATGGCTAATAGAACAGTACTGAAGAAAATAAAAAGGAAAGAGAGTCAAGGTCTGTGGACATCATAGTAGCTACGTTGATGTCTCCAAGCAAATACTAATAATGATCTAGCAATCACCGTGTCCATATGTACCTAGATCTGCACACGAGGTGCAGAGTGTAGTTTGAGTACAACCGACCCCATGTACTCAATAAGTAACAGGACTAACATTGGGTTGAAAGCAGCGACGAGCTTAGAAGGATAAAGACAGAACCAATATAATGACAACACAGGTAAGATAATGACAATGACAGTAAATAACTCAGAGAAACTTCCATATTCAGCTCATTCATGGTACAAAAATTTAGACATGCTTTCAAGTTCACAATTAAAGACCAACACTGAGAATAACATGTCAAGTATAGCTAGAATGAGAAATGGTACATAGCTATGCCTACATGTCAAATATGCATGTCAAATATAAGATATCACAGTGATATTCCCACGTACTTACACTCTCAGAGTAGTCCATCTATTTATCTCAAATTCCCACTCATCACACACACAATCACTCAGCACTGTACAGGTACCTTGCTTCAATTCCCCTCACCCAAGCACGTGTAGATATCACTGTCCCTGCGCTCACAGCTGGTTTGTTAGACTCCGGAGGGCGGATCCTTCCCAAGCACTAATATAAAGCCTATAAAGCCAACTGCGACGTGCAGCCCGATCCACAATAATGAATAAGCCAATAAGGCATGCTGCAGCATGCTGCCTGATCCACAATAACACTCACAACCCGGCTCTCAAGCCCACCTCAAGCATCACTCTCTCAAGTCTCAAGGGCTCACATATGTCGTACCACTCAGCCCAAACAATGATAACATGTAGTGTAACATTGGAAGATAATAGAGACTGAGATATGATATGCAAATGAAGATTCATGACTGAGTATATGATTGCAGTTAAAGCTCATAACTCAAAAATAATAGAAATAACCTCATTAGATCTCAATCGGATAAGCACACAACCTAAACATGATTTCTAACATAAATCACAGTTCAATTTCTCTAAACAAGTAGGAATTACACAGATAAAACAAGACTTGATATCAACATAGTATAAGAATCCACCCGTATCATGATTACCATAGTGCACACCCTCATGCCCGTCACCTAGTATGTGCGTCACCCCAACACAAACTATATAATACATTTTTCAGGGATTTATACCCTCAGTTCTTAGTTTAGAAGTGTTACTTACTTACCTCAAAGCGCATAACTCACTACTCCAACAAGCCCTTGCCTCGCGAATCGGCTATGAACGACTCGAATCTAGTTACAAACAACTCAATATAATCAATACAAGCTACATGGATCGATTCCATATAATAAAGCTAAGATCTTTAACCGAAATCAAAAAGTTAACCCAAAAAGTCAATCCCGAGCCCACATCTCGGAACCCGACAAAATTTACAAAACCCGAACACCCATTAAATTATGAGTCCAACCATACCAAAATCTCTGAACGACTCGAATATTGTTACAAACAACTCAATACAATCTATAAGGATCAATTCCATACGATAAAGTTAAGATCTTTAACCAAAATCAAAAGTCAACCCCCGGCCCACGCCTTGGAACCTGAGAAAATTCACAAAATTCGAACATCCATTCAATTACAAGTCCAACCATACATAATCATCAAACTCCAACCACAAATCGACCCTCAAATCCCCAAATATTACTCTCCAATACATAGTCCAAAAATCCCCCACATTTCACCTCAAACACAAATAATCTAGGTGTAAATATCAATGGATATTCATTATTTATGGACAAAAGTGATCAAAAGTCGTTTACCTCTTGAATTATAGTGAAATCCTTCTCAAACATCCCCCTAGCCGAGCTTCACAAGTACAAAAATGAGAAAAATGCCAAAACATTCAAAATTTATGTTCTGTCCAGCAAACCGCACGTGCAGTGAACTTCTTCGCTTCTGCGGAACCTATTTTGTAGTCAAATGTCCGCATCTGCAGAAATCACTTAGACACCCAACCAAGCGCACATGCGGCCCTTAATGCGCACATGCGGGAGCTCTTCTACGGTCCAAACATCTCTCCTGCGCATCCGCACCTGTGGAGTCAATCAGCTTCTGCGACTCCAGCCTCTCCTGCCAAAATCTACTTCTACGGCCAACAAAATCGCACCTGCGAGCTCGCAGATGTGGAAAGTGCCTCGTATCTGCGGCCTCTTCCAAGCCCATCCAAACTCCGCACCTACGACGATCATGTCGCTTCTGTAACTTTCTAAACCTTCAACTTTTCAACTTTCACCATTGCAAGCCAAAACGACCAACGAAGCATAGAAATATGAAATACTGGGTGAATACCCGATAGACTAGGTGGCAAGGCAAGTCTGTAGGCCACCTCTCCAATCATCTCAAGAACCTCAAAAGGGCCAATATACCGAGGGCTCAACTTCCCCTTCTTCCCGAACCTCATTACACCCTTTATGTGAGAAACTCTAAGCAATACCTTCTCTCTCAACATATATACAACATAACGAACCTTCTGATATGCATAACTATTATGTCTAGACTGTATTGTACAAAGCCAATCCTAAATCAACTTGACTTTCTGCAAGGCATCCTGTCCCAAATCAGAACCCAACAACCTAGCCTTTCTCGACTCAAACCAACCAACTGGAGAACGATACCGCCTCCGATATAAGGCCTCATCAAGAGCTATCTGAATACTCGATTGGTAGCTGTTGTTGTAGGCAAACTCTGCAAGCAGTAGAAATTGATCCCAAGAACCCCCAAAATCCATAACACAAGCGTGTAGCATATCGTTCAAAATATGAATAGTGCGCTCAGACTGTCCATCCGTCTGGGGGTGGAATGTTGTACTCAACTCAACCCATATGACCAACCCTCGCTGCAATGTGTACCCCGATCAGAAATAATGGACACCAGCATACCATAAAGATGAATAATCTCATAGATATTGATATTAGCTAGTCGCTATGAAGAATAGGTAGTCACAACCGGAATGAAATTTGCGGAATTAGTCAACCAGTTCATAGTCACCCAAATTGTATCAAATTTCTTTAAAGTTTGTGGGAGACTAACAAAAAGGTCCACGATAACACGCTCCCATTTCCACTTGGGAATCTCAAGTCTCTAAAGCAATCTGACCGGCCTCTGATGCTCGTACTTCACCTGCTGACAGTTCAAGCACCGAGCCACATACTCCACTATATCATTCTTCATTCTCCTCCACCAATAAAGCCACCTCAAATCCTGATACATTTTCTCGGCACCTGGATGGATGGAATACCATGAACTCTGGGCCTCCTCAAGAATCAACTCACGCAACCCATCCACATTGGACACACAAATCTGACCCTCCATCTGCAACACCCCATCATCTACATAGAAACCTCCTTGGCATCACCGTGCTGTACCGTGTCCTTAAGGGCAAACAAATGGGGGTCATCATACTGACGCTCTCTGATGCGCTCATACAAAAAAGATCAAGAAACAATGCAAGCTATAACCCGACTAGGTCCCAAAATGTCTAACCTCACGAACTTATTGGCCAAGGCCTGAACATTTGATGCTAGTAGTCTCTCACCAACTGGAATATATGCAAGGCTACCCATACTCACTGCCTTTCTACTCAAGGAATCAGCCACCATGCTGGCCTTCTAGGATGATCAAGATGTTGATATCATAGTCTTTTAATAGCTCCAACCATCTCCGCTACCTCAAATATAGATCATTCCGCTTGAACAAGGGTTGTAGATTTCGATAATCTATAAATACCTCACAAGACATGCCCTAGAGATAATGCCTCAAAATCTTTAATGTATGAACAATGACTACCAACTTTAAATCATTAACGGGGTAGTTCTTCTCATGGGGCTTCAACTAGCGTGAAGCATAAGCAATCACCCTACCCTCCTGCATCAATACATACCCAATACCCATCTGAGGAGCATCACAATACACCATATATGAACCCGATGCTGAAAGAAAAACTAGGACTAGAGTTGTGGTCAAGGCAGTCTTGAGCTTCTGAAAGCCCTCTTCACATTCCTTAGACCGCCTGAATAAGGCACCCTTTTGGGTCAATATAGTCAAAGGTGCAGCAATGTACGAGAAACCCTCCATAAAATGACAATAATATTCGGCCAAACCAAGGAAACTTTGAATTTTAGTAGCTGAAGACGGCCTGGGCCAACTCTGACCTGCCTTAATCTTCTTCGGATCCACCTTGATCCCCTCACTAGACACCACGTGCCCCAATAATATCACATAATCAAGCCAAAACTCTCACTTGGAGAATTTAGCTTATAGCTTCTTTTCCCTTAACGTCTGGAGTAAAATCCTCATATGCTGC